AAAAAAAAAAAAAAAAAAGGAAAGAGGAAAATGTTGATGCTAGTTAACTGCTCCAACTGCCACACGCCCCTCCAGCTGCCGCCTGGCGCCTCCTCCATCCGCTGCGCCATCTGCCAGGCCATCACCCGAATAGCCGACCCACGGGCAGGCCCACCCGCACCACCCACACACTATCACACCCCCACCACCTACAACAACGGGTACATCAACAACAGCTACTACACTCCACCACCGCCGCCAGTCCCCTCACCGTACAACCACGTGCCGCCACCGTACCACCACGCACCGCCGGCTGCCCATGGCCGGAAGAAGGCGGTGATCGTGGGAATTTCTTACAAGAACTCGAAGCAGGAGCTCAAGGGGTGCATTAACGATGCCAAATGCATGAAGTTTATGCTCGTTAACCGGTTCAACTTCCCTGAATCCTCCATCCTCATGCTTACTGGTAAATCTCTTTTTTTTTTTTTTGTTTTCCCCTTCTTTGTTTCTATTTTTTTTTTTTTTAAATTCTTGATGTTTTTTTTTTTAATTTTATTTTCGTTGACTGTCTTGATCCGGATGGGTGCTAGGATTTTTAGGTGTGGTGTTTTAGTCTCTGGGTTGAGGTTTGACTTGATTAAGGTCAACTTGATAATTAATTGTTAGATGTATTTTTATTATTTTTTTTATGGAAAGTAGGGTACTAGGGTGATTTAAATTGTCAACTTGATGTGTTAGAGTAGCTGGAATTCCAAGAGTACAACAGCAAGGGTTGCTTTTTATATGCATTCATTCTAAGGCAAATTTACTTGTTTATTGGTACAGTACAGCCAAACTATATGTACCTGATCTTCAAAACTCAATGAGAAGTTGCTCACCAAGAAACAAATGGCATGCTTGGATAACTACAATCATAAATCCGACAGTCTAATTTTACCCGATTTTATTTCACAAGTAATTTAAAAAATTATTCGATTTCAGCTTCACCAATTCTAACTCATACTATTTTTACCAGTTTGAACCAAGAACCTGTAGTTTGAGCTACGATATACATCGCAAATATGGTTTATAGATTGATTTACTTAAAATATACATGACAAACATCCATTAATCGTCTCATTGTAGTTCTCATAGGTTTGACTCACCTGTGTTCATCTAACATGCCAGTTTGTACAAAGGTTCATCTGAGTGCATGCACTATTGTGCTATTACAGTGATTATACCCGTTTGGGCTTGAAATTGTTCCTTTTACTACTCATGACTTATAAAAAAAAAAAAAAAATCTTTAGAATACTATATTCCTATCGTAAATCAAATGATTATCCAAATATATATCTTCATTTCATATGAAAACCAAATCTATCTCCAAAATCCCTATGAAAATACTCGAGTCTAAAAATGTAAGAGAAAACTACGAGAACAAAATATGCATGTCAAGTAAAAAAGAGGGTCATTGTCATCTTCTTCTTCCCTGGATTCTAAAGGCTATTTTAAGTGTCAATTATTCTCCACAAAGATGTTAGGTGATAGGCAATTTAATTAAGTTACATTACAGGAAAATTTTTAATCAATAAAATGGTGATGATATCATTAAGCCAATAATGCATACTTGTCAATGACAAGTGAAAAGATGGATATAGTCTTTATAACAAGGCAAGATTCAAAAGAAAATGGAAATGAATCTCCTTTTTTTTGAAATTTATGATGAAGAAACTGATTGCATGGTGATGTCTCACTATTTGAAAGTGACCGGTTTTCTGATAATCATCAATCTAAAGTATGCTTCAAAATAACGTAACTTTTGAGAACATTAAACATGAAAAGGTATAAAGGTGTAGGCCAAAAGCAAGGAATCATGAGGTTAGCTTTGATTTACAGCTGCATTGCTTGCACTTAGAACTTAGAAGGGATCTCACAATAGTAAGCTAGATCATGCATAACAGTCGACCAAAAGAGGGGGAAAAAAAAAAAACACCCGATACAAGAAGAAGAAGAAAAAAATAAATAGACCTCCTCCAAAATGCATGAAATGTTTCTAACATATATTCCAAGCTTACCTTATTTTCCAGAAGAGGAGACTGATCCGTACAGAATCCCGACAAAACACAACATGCGGATGGCATTGTTTTGGCTCGTCCAAGGCTGTCAGACAGGAGATTCGCTCGTATTCCATTTTTCAGGTCACGGCTCACAACAGAGAAACTACAAAGGGGATGAGATTGATGGGTTTGACGAGACATTATGCCCGTTGGACTACGAGACACAGGGAATGATTGTTGACGATGAAATTAATGCGACAATTGTGAAGCCTCTACCGGCGGGGGTCAAGCTTCATGCAATCATAGACGCATGTCATAGTGGCACGGTCCTCGATTTACCGTATGTTTGTAGAATGGACAGGTTTGTATAAGAAAACAAAGATAGAATTAGGTTGTGTTTGGTAAACATATAAGTTACCTTTATTTGATTAGCTTATAAGCTTCATGTATTTAAAAAAGCTCGAGCTTATCCCATAAGCTTCCTTAGGTAGCTTTTCAAATAAGCCCATTGAAATTTTTATTTCAGCTAGCTTATCAGCAATAAGTCATAAGCTATCAACTATAAGCTCGAAATTCACTTAAAAGCTATAAGTTGTTTACTAACTATAAGCAAGCTTATCAGCTAGGTTTACCAAACATAGCTTAAAAACACAAGAAACTAATCTTATTTGTCTCATGCAAAAGTCACTCTCACAGAGTGTCTTACACCAACTTAAAATTAGTAACGAATTTAATCACTTTCACGCAGAAGTGGACGTTGTGCATGGGAGGACCATCGTCCTCCTACAGGGACATGGAAAGGCACGAGCGGTGGAGAAGTAATTTCCTTTAGCGGTTGTGATGATGATCAAACCTCGGCCGATACATCTGTAAGTTTCTCACTAACTCTTCAAACGATATTTTGAACGCAAATTGACATGGATGAACTCCAACAGGCTCTATCTAAGGTGACTGCTACTGGGGCTATGACCTTTGCCTTCATACAAGCAATAGAAAAGGGACAAGGAAATACGTACGGGCGTCTTTTAAATGCAATGAGATCAACAATACGAAAGACAGACAGTGAGTTGACAGGAGGAGCTAATGGTGCTGTGACAACACTTCTTACAATGCTTTTGACGGGAGGAAGTGCTGGTATTGGAATAAAACAGGTATGTAGTTTTTTCGACAACTGAAGAAATTAATCTCTGTTTTACAAAAAATAATTAAGACAGGATTTCGACTATAGTTTTTAAAAATTTTAGTACAGAACCAAATGAGATAAAAGTAATTTTCACAACTACTTTCACATATATTTTCTTAGCCAGCTATTATGGACTACGAACTTGTGATGGGTGTCAATGAACTCCCATCAATCAAACACACGAGATCTTAGAGATGTAATACGATGCTACAACAACAATTAAGATTGATAATATGGGGCTCTTGTGTTGCTTGCAGGAACCACAACTTAGTGCTAACGAACCATTCGATATCTACACAAAGCCATTTTCACTTTGAGTTTTAAGCTAGAGCAGGCAGTAATATAACCGTGGCAAGTGAATAACATGGTGGCTGAACAATTCATTTCTACTTCTCGGCTTGCAAATGCTGTGCAAAGTTCAACGCACTATATTTTATTTCTAGAAAAAGGTTGAGGAACATCTGATTATCATTTTCTGGTGGAGTCTTCATGTTGGGAATCGTGTGGACATAAATTCATGTATCCCTGAAAAGAGTTCTCATCTTCCTTTGCCCTATATCTTTAATCTGAGTTTATAAAGTGTTTAACTTAGTGATTAGATGCATCAACCTGAACCCATGATCAAGGACCTTTTGGTTTAATTAATTCATATGAATGAAATTAAACCTGATTGATCTCCAATGCAATAGGTTATAGGTGCCATCAACATTCTTGAAACAGGACTTGGTATGAAACACAAATTCCCTCGGCACAATATGATATATTCAGGATCTATTTCGAGGTCATTTTATAAACAAAAATTCATAATATTCTTCATTTAAGCATACCCAATGTTACTTTGTGAATGAGCTGATTTCACTCATGATAGGTTCACAAACTCTTAATCAACCATCTAATAAGACTTATACTTAAGTGTTAAAAACATAACAAAGTCATCTCTACTGATGTAAAACCCAGAAACAAGACGCCACAGTTTAATATTAGCACGAATAACTCAATATGAGAGCTTAAAAGAAAAACATATCTATTAATCATACTTGGACTAATTAATAACCTCAGCCGGATTCTGCAAGAAACCACGAATCATGCTCAACATCATTCCGCGGTAAAACACTGCCTCTCATGCTGTGTGTAGTCCTTCAAATCCGTGTCCGCATACTCCTATCACGACACCATTAGAAAACCAACATCAAAATCAAACACGCACCTGACCATCTTCGAAGTCAGAACATTACATTAGAAAAAGGGAAGATAAATATAAAGATACCTTCTCTCTGTCCTGACAGAGTTTGCTCCTCTTCTTGCTCTTTTCCACAAACAAACAGCTTTTAACCACACCCCATTTCCTCATGGATATAACGCACAGGCATTGCAAGGCCTCGCTGAAAAAACTCCACCTCTTGATCATTTTATCAAACGCCTTGTGTGTCCTCGTTTTTCCCTTTAATCCACCCTTTTTTCTACTCCCGAAATCTAAAAACACCACGAAAAGCAGAAATCTCTATCCTGATAAAAACTCGCCTTGTGGGTTCCCCGGAGTTGTTCTCTTTTCTGCGGTCGTTGAACTGACCGGCGAACTGCAGGTCGCCGGTGACCCGCTGGATTTGGACGGCGTCGCCGGATAGGAACCCGCACAGGTGGAGAGATAGCGTCGAAGGGGATGGAATTGGCGGGAAATGGGTTATCCAGTTGCCTTTTGCCGGCATCCATTGACGCGGAAATGAAGCTCGAGGAGTCGAGGCATGCGAAACGAGACCTCTTACCGTCGCGACGGATGAAATTAAACGAACCGGTACGATCTTTTTGTTGGTTTTATTTAAGACGAATATATAAAATAAAATATTGGAAAAATGCTGAAATAGATGCTAAAATCTATCGAACGATGTCTTAATTAGGGACATTATTTAGGGTATGTTTGATAAGTCAAATAAGCTAGCTTTTAGTTTATTTGGTTAGCTTATAAGCTCTCTGTTTAAAATAAGCCTCGTTTGGTAGGACGAGTTTTTTTAAAAAACTCGAGCTTATTTCATAAGCTACTTTAGGTAGCTTTTCAAATAAGCTAGTTGAATTTTTTTATTTCAACTAGCTTATCAGCTAATTTATCAAACACGTTTTATCATATAAGCTAGCTTTTCAGCTATAAGTCATAAGCTATAAGCTATAAGCTCAAAAATTACATATAAGCTATAAGCTAGCTTATCAGCTATCAGCTAGCTTATCAGCTAATTTTACCAAACATAGCCATAGTACTTACCAAAAACAATGTCAACCATTTTCGCACTTTCCACCGACCACCACATATCACTTCTCAATTCTCACCCTCCGAACTCAATGCGAGACACTTAGTTGAAGTATACAAGTCTAAACCAAATTCAACAAATTAAATTTACCAAATTAAGAACAAGTTGAATTGAATTAGCCCTCAAGTTGGAAACCAAAATCATGAGCAACAAAGACTAGGTCATCACCACCATGGTCAGATCTACATTCCTAGTACACCCTGGCCGGCCATTCGTCTAAATTGCAACAGGGTTAGGGTTACCATGCTTGAATTGCCGCTGCCTATACTAATCCGGATAGGAGCCCATTATTAGAATCGGGGGAAGAGAGTGCGGTCCCACTAGATGAAGCGCACCATAAGAGGTGAGCCTAGATGCACCTTAGTGAGGTTCATCACAAAACCAATTGGTGATGGGAAGAGTAGTCCACTAGGCTTATATAAACTAGACTCATTTTTCCTATATAATCAATGTGGAACAACTCACACATGATATCCAACACCCATTCTGTTGGTCGTCGGTGCTTGGATATAGAATTTTTTTTTTTTGTTTTTGTTTGAATTTGTTTGGGTTGATTTGATTAATTTTGAAAAATGAGGATGGTTAATTGTTAGAAGGATTTTGGATTTATATTAAAATAAAATAATTAAGGTTGATTTGATATAAAAAGTATGAGAGAGATTATGTGAAATGATAGTTGGTTAAAATAATGTGAGTGATTAAATAACGAATTAAAGTTAGTTGATGTAATGTGTAAACATGATTGATTTATATTATTTGAATATATTGATAATATTAAGAATAGTGAAGTTGGGTTAAAATTGAGTTAGATTTGAGTTTAAAAGAAAAAAAGTGATTGGTTAAAAATTATTGAATTTTTTTTAGATATTTTGTATACAAGCATCATCACCAACCCTTCGTTATTCGTCATCAATGCTGAACGACAGTCCTAAATCTGATCTATTGTATGAGTAAGACGTAACCGCATTGTTAAAGACCACATTATGAAAATAACGCCACCACTCTTTGTTGCACCGCTAGATGCCGCTTGCGATGGAACTCGTGAATTTATATATAACTCTTCAGTTTGGACCACCCAACCATCTGTAAACTAATACCTAACTCAAACCAACATCAAATTGATTACGATATTCAATTATTGATTGTTTTTGTTTGATTTTTGTTTTTCAACTTCGATTCAATTCGATTTCAGTTGGGTATGTTTTCGATGTTTCAGAAAAATATGTCAACGCTAATCCATCATTCTACATAGCATGCAATTGATACATTATGATTTTCCACACATATTCTCTATTCTTTACCTATTGTCAATTAATTAAACAAAATTAGAAAAATAATATAATAGAACTTGATGGACACATCAATTATAAAGATAGTGTTGACCTCTCACTAGTGCTGTTAAATTAAACGAGCTTGGCTCGGCTCGGCTCGAGCTTGACTCGTTAAGGCTCGGTTCGGCTCAAGTTCGAAGCCTTAACGAGCCGAGCTCGAGTTCATTTAAAGCTCGTTTGGTTAACGAGCCGAGCTCGACTCGACTCGATAAGGCTCGTTAAGGCTCGAAAAGTGAAATTTATATAATTTTTTATAGTTCGGCTCGTTAAAGCTCGAGATCGGCTCGTTAAGCTCGAGGCCTTAACGAGCCGAACTCGAGCTTGATTTTTGGCTCGTTTACTTAACGAGCCGAGCTCGACTCGGCTCGTTAAGAGCTCGAGCTCGAGCTCAAACACCTTAAGCTCGAGCTCGGCTCGGCTCGATTACAACCCTACCTCTCACCAAGGACCAAGTATTATAAAATGTCAAATATTACATTGTTTCATTTTTCACCTCATCAATCTAACCAATTCTCACCACAAAGGCTTTTTGAGGTCATTGCATCTACAAAATTACTTCACAAACGAACCTGAGAAAAAATCACTTGAACTTACTACAACACCAATATCTTCCAAGTTCCAAAAATGTGTGTGTGTGTGTGTGTGTGATTTTTCGATTTCCTCTTTCTTTTTTGGGCTAATGCTTTAATTAATTGGGAAAATTATGTAATTTTCTCTAACTAATTAATGGTGATACGAGTGGAAAAAGGCCGATTTAGTTGGGCCCAAACTAGAGGCCCACTTACAACGAACCAGTGGCTAAAAATTAGTGAGCCGCTCGTATGCTGAACAGGTAAGTGGACCGGACCAATCGAACGCTTTTATCAACCAGACAACCACTGGATAGATAACAACAGCATCCATAAATCCACCAAGCGCGCACACACACACACACACTCTGCAACTTCCTGCTCTCTCCATGGCTTCCTCTTCGGCACACTTCACCTTCTCTCCCCTCCTATCTCTCTCTAGAACCTCATCCCGCGCGACCCGAAGCTTCCTCAACCTGAGAACCGCACGACGTCGTTCGGTGCAGATTCGAGCTGCGGCGGAGGACTTAGTCGGCGATTTTGGGGCGCGGGACCCTTTCCCGGCCGAGATCGAGAGCAATTTTGCGGATAAGGTGTTGGGGAATGTGAGCACTGAGCACAAAATTTTGATCCCAATTGCGTCGGCGCTGTCGCTGGCGCAGCAGGAGTGCGCCCCGATTTCACAGCTTCAGCAGCCCATGTCCGAGGACGATGCCAAAAAGCTTATGTTCAAGGTTTTTCTTCAGCTCGAATTCACTCAATTTATCCCAATTTTTATTAAAATAACTAATCATTGGTAGAAGGATTGTTTCTTGATAAAACAAATGTTAAATTGCAACATGGGTCATGTAATTAGGAAGGGTTATGTATTTCTTTTTTTCTTGCATATATATAAGTTAAACAAGTTATTGTGTAAGGCGGAATACAAAATGTATGCATGTGTTATGAAAGGTCATGTTTTTTTTTTTTTTTTTTTTTTTTTTTTTTTTTTTTTTTTTGCAGAGTGTGACATCTAAGTTTGAAAGAATTCAAGAAAGAAAAAAGAAAATGAATGTCTTACCAATGTAAGTATATGTGTTGTGCAATTCTAAATTTGTGTCGCATTGGCTTTGCTGATTTAGATATCTCAGGTGGATTTAGTTTGTGTAATTCTGGAACTGTAATTTGTAATTTTTTACGCAGTTTTTGACCTGAAATACTCGATTTTGTGCAGCTTTGGTCTGGTTCATGAATGGTGAAATATTGGATTAGGCATCAGGGTTAGCATCAAGGATAGTTCAAATGGGTTAAAAGTCCATTCTTGCGGGACCATAACCACTATATATAGATTATAGAATACTTATATCTGTCACACCTTATACTAGCAAGTCCGAAATTGCATATTAGGTTGTTAAAATTGGATGCGTTTTTAGGGATCATCTTTGAAAATTGATTCCTGTTTCTAATCCTCGACAAATACGACACTTTTTACATTTTATTCAGAGACTCATTTAATATGCAAATTTACATTGTGCAGGTTGTAGGCTGGAGACTTGTGAACGAAGAAGGCGGTCTACAGCTGCAAGGTGTGTGGAAAGTTAGAGATACTAAATGTGGGGAAGAACTTATAAATAGGATCACAAAGGCCGTGGAGCATACGGGCCATCTTCCGACTCTTCATTTGGAGGCACCCAATCAAGTTCAGGCTGTATTGTGGACATCATCAATTAGTAAGCAAATGGTTAATACGTTTTTTTTCGAATTTTCTTGATTTTTCATTCATTCTGCATAAGGTAGCGGTGTAGTGTAGTTGACTGGATTAAATATGGATGTCCAATTTCACTCTTTTTAGGCTTTATGTTGAGAGATTGCTATGGTTTTCACATTCTGCTGGTGTTTAATCAAAGTGTGATAAAGCTAAGTTTTTTGTTGTTCGACGTAGGTGGGTTGAGCATGAACGACTTCATTGTGGCAGCTAAAATCGACGAGATAAAAGTATCAGATCTACAGCCTAGACAAAGAGTTTGGGCATAAAATCTGGTATTTTTGTTTTTGTTTTTGTTTTATCCTATGTGTTACTATACTCAATGCCATGGAAAAGAAGATGCTACTTTCAGCGATTGTGTAATACACTGTGTACAACTCGTGTGGGATATTCCCCGACGATTTTGTGTAATCATATTCTGAGAACGTTTTCTTCATTTACTTTACAGTTTACCCCCAACATCATGCCTCAATACTGCCTTTTGTTTACAAAACAACCAAAAAATTTTCGAAACAAATAATAAGAAAAAAAAGGGAAAAGAAAAAAGATATATTGCCGAAGACTTAAACCGGCTGCACATTCTGTAATTCAAAAACTTCGCATCAGAATGTTTCGATGCTTATGATTAACCCGAAAACAGTAGAGAGAAACCAAACACTAAGAAAATGCAACACCAATCACAATCCTAGTTGATAATTAATCTGAGTTCTAGGATAATCATAAAAATTGCAGTCTTTCCCCCCTCAGTCGACCGGAAAAATGACCTCTAAGCTCGTCCTCTTCAGCGTGCGGCAAACGGGGCAAGTCCTCGCTGTCCCCTCGCACATAGAGCATACGGACACGTGGCGGCACGGCAACATCATCACCGTGGCCCGTTGCCTGCTGCAGGCCCTGCAATCGATCCGAACGGGCCTTAGCCCGCTGTCCGAGTCTACATTCGTGGATGAGTTTGTGTCCTCATGGGCCTTGTCCCCATGCCAGTGGGCCTTGAGGGTCGTGGTGGCCTGCTCCAGGTGCTCCACCATGGCCCGCAGGTGCTCGACCTCTTTCCTGTAATGCTCGGCCTTCCTTGCCAGCTCTATGTTTCGGGCTGAACTTATTTGCAGCTCGATTTCTTTCTGCTTGAGTTTCTGTTGGGCCCGCTCGTCCGCGGCCCGGCGGATGGCCCGCTGCTGCTTCTCCAGTACGCCTCCGAGGGCCTGCCTAAGGATATCAGTCTGCAATGGAGAGAGAAAAAAACCCTCATATAGTTTTGATTTATATTGTCACCGTGAAAAAAAAATAAATAAATAAAAATCAACTTCATTATAGTTAAGAAGTGGTGGAAAAGTGATATACATGGAGCAAGATGATCTGATTGACTTGTTCACTCTGGCTTTGGATCTCGGTAAGGAGTGGGTCCACGTCATCCTCATCGTTGGCCACTAACAGTGATGTAAATGAGAAGGGTTTGGATGGCCGGGCGGCGGCAGAGTTGAGAATCTGCTGCACCTGAGACTGGCGGCAGTTTGCCTGAGGGTTACTCGGAGATGCAGAGTGGTGGCGGCCGCCGCCTTGGAAATTACCGAACAACTCAAATTGGTGATTTTCTGCCGGCGGCTGTTGCTCTGCTGAAGCTCTGCCGACAACTTCCTTCATTTTTCTCTTGCCGGAGTTCATTTTTGGGGTGGTTGGGGCCGTTGTGGAAGAGTGTAATATATAATGGAAGGAGGAGAAGAAATGAGGTGGCACCGTTTGGGAGAAAAGATTGATGCAACTCTTCATGCAAATAGACGCCTCCTTTCCGGGATAGTTATGTATGTGTGTGTGTGTGTGTGTTTTCCTAATTATTATATGATGTTACTAAACCTGATATGTAAATTATCAGAACTTCTATAAAACCAACTGTCTGGTTTTCTTATAAAACCCACAACCAATGAGAGAGCTCTAATGTGGGGCTGTCCCACATGCTCTCATGTGGGACAACCCCATATTGGAGCTCTCTCATTGATTGTGGGTTTTATAAGAAAACCAGACAGTTGGTTTTATAGCAAACTTGTGTAAATTATTCATAAACTAGTTTAGTTATATACAAAAAAATATACAATTTAGAATTCAAATATAGTAATAAATTACAAATCATTCATTCATAAACAATCAAAACTAATATATTTGGTCCTACCTGGCTCGATTCCGGATTAATCGTTCCCCTGTGAATTCGGAAACCGGAAGGTCCCTGTACCAAAAAAAACTAATATATTTGCACCAAAAAAAAAAAACTTTATTAAAATAAAAATAAAAATAAATTTGTTATGTAAATTTTAATTTGATGACAACAAGTATCAATTTGTTACATTACTAGGTGAAGCCCGGTTCTCGAACTTTTTCCCATGATAACGCTGTCTGACATATGAGTTGGCGAGGGGCAATTTGAGGCCCAATGGGCTTCAACTCGTTCAAGCGGAATGATGAGTTTTTGAAGGGACACGTTTGTCTACATGTAAACACACCAAATAACACAAATTTATGGAAATGATATGGTCTCGTCACAAAAAAGTTTGTAACCGTTAGATCAACTAATTTCGACGATTACATAATTATCTAACACCGGATACAAAAATCCTCTTACCGTGCTATAATGAGGGCAAACATCTAAACGGCACACGCCCAAAAGACCACTCCACAGTCCACACGCCCAAAGTTCACTCTCTTACTTCACCAAAGCTTTCTCGGATATAGATTATGACTACGTCTACGGCCCCAGCAGCCATTGCCAGTCTTTGGAAATGCGGCTTCCTTTCCACCAGAGGTCCTTTCTTTTCCTGTGCTTTCCTTAAGTAAACACAACACTACTCACTTAATTCTTTGTAGCATGTCCCGACTGACATATATCTGTTTGTTGGTTGTTGACAATGTCGTTGCAGCATTTTCTGGGTCGACAAGCAGCCTCTATTGTGCGAAGAATGAGGTGTGTGTGCTTCTTACTGTGTATTCCTCCTTCAGCCGGTGGGTCGTTTTCGTTCTTCCGGGTGGAATAGAGTTTCTTTTGTTTGTAAGATTAAATGGTCGAGTTTTGCTAGGCAGACACACCATTTATTTCAGTGTCGTCAAGGTGTTTGATAAAATGACTTAATGGGCTGTTTCCTTTTTCTCTCTGTTGTTTATCTTTTTATTCTCTGGCTTGTTGCAGGAGAGGTGGTTTCTTTATGTGCAAATGGGACAAAATAGGCTTGTCTGCCCCTTCACAAAAAAAAAAAAAAGGAAAATAAAATGAAATAAAATTATTTTTGTACCATTTCCCGACGAAATTGTAATGACCCTTTCACGACAAATTCGACATGAAATGATCATTTCAAGTCGACAGACGACATATAACAGTCCTCCTCAGGAAATGGCTAACAAGGATTTTCAAGAAAAAGTGGATAAAAAGATTCCATCTTTATAAAAATGGCTAAAAAATGTTCATGTGATTTGTTCATTCTTACTCGAGTTATGCATGAAGTAGAAAATGGTGTTTTGATATGAGGCTTTCTGAATGTTCACAGAAATCGAGCGCAAGGAAAATTTATAGGAGTGTAACTGCCACAATCGATCATAAGCCTCCGCCATACTCACTTGTAAGTGATGAAGATTGTTGCTTTGATGTTATATATGTTCATTCGGTATTACTGCTCAGCATGTTATGTATATATATATATATATATTTTTTCTCACTGAGGATTTAGGATGCTTTGGAACCTCATATGAGCCGTGAAACATTTGAATACCATTGGGGAAAGCATCACAGGGCCTATGTCGATAACCTCAACGCGCAAATAGTTGGTACGGAACTGGATATAAAGTCGTTAGAGGAAATTGTGCTTCTAACGTATAACAAGGGTGATTTCCTCCCGCCCTTCAACAATGCTGCACAGGTATAAAGAGTACAACAGTTAACTTCTCTACACACGCACAATTACATTTTAGGAGAAATTCAAGGAATTTTCACTTGCTTTTAGGTACACTTAGTTGATAATATCTTTAAGTAGTTGTCTAAGACTCTGGTAAAGAGAAAAAAGTTTAGTTAAATTCTAGCCCATTTGACTTGGTTTAAACCGAATTGTCATATGAGACCTAGGAAGTGATTCTATAATTGGCTAAGAAGCATAGTTCCCTTTCCTTGGGAGGAATGATAGAGAATTGTTACACGTCAGGCATAATTTTTTGTTGATAGAGCATTCTCTCGCATTTCGTTCATGATGAAATATCGATAGTATGTACATAATTTTTTCTGTAATATGTATATATTTTATTTTTATATATCGATAGGTATGGAATCACGAGTTCTTCTGGGAGTCCATGAAACCGGGTGGTGGAGGCAAGCCATCGGGAGAACTTCTAAAATTGATAAACAGAGACTTTGGTTCTTTTGAAGCTTTTGTGAACGAATTCAAGGCAGTCGCAACTACTCAATTTGGTTCTGGTTGGGCTTGGCTCGTATGTAAGCACTAAAGAAGAACTTCCATATGGCTTTTTTTTTTTCACTGTATTGAGAAGAGAGATTAGTCTACCTGATTATCCTTTCAATGGACAGACAAAGCAAATAGACTTGATGTTGGAAATGCCGTGAATCCACTTCCATCTGACGAGGACAAGAAGCTTGTGGTGGTTAAGAGCCCAAATGCTGTAAACCCTCTTCTCTGGGATTATTCTGTGAGTATAACAACATTTTCGGTCCTCTGTTTCCTTTGTTTTCCTTTCAAATTCTTCAAATTTCTTCTTATCCTATTGGTTGGAAAATCAGATGTTATGTTGATTGTGTATCAAAGGTTTATTGTGCTATTAATCCTTTTTTCTTTAATTATTTCTAGTGATTTTCCTTGACCTGAAACTATTTGTCTTCTCTGTTTGCTTCTGTTGTTACAGCCACTTCTTACGATTGATGTTTGGGAGGTAAGCCGTTGAAATTATTCTTATTTATATCGTCGTTGTTTTACCAGTAAGAAGAAAATACAGAATAAGTAAACTGGAAAAGTCTTTGGGTAAATCACACATATTAGCTTCTGAGGATTAGGTAATCAATTTACTTTCAGAAGTACATATGTGCTCTTGAAGTTCGTATTTACTTTGACTGTAATTTGTGGAATAGAAACAATAAGGGGATACTCATAACTTGAAAGATAGGTGAGTTTCTATAGTAAAGCTAAACAGATGGAACCTTGAGTTTATTATTATTGTTATCATAATTATTGGTTTAATAGTTTATCCTAAAACCTGTGGAATGATCGGTGTGTCTACTAAATTGTTTACTCTTCTTGCTCTTTTCTATTCCCTTTCGCAGCATGCTTACTACCTCGACTTCCAGGTTAGTCCTCCACTTACAAACTTTGTTTGCCTTTATTTTTTTTTTTGGTAGTCCGGAATATTAACAATGTGTTCATTCCAGAACCGCCGCCCGGACTACATATCTACATTTTTGGAGAAGCTTGTTTCGTGGGATGCTGTACGTTTCAGGCTTGAAGCAGCAAAGGCTCGCGCAGCTGAGAGAGAACAAGAGGAAGAAAGGAAGAAAACAGAATATGAAGACAATATTACGAAGTTGGAAGCAAGGGAACTGTATTTAAGCAGCAGTGATGAGGATGATTCTGAGGCCGATTGATCTTCCCTACGAATTATGATTGGATTTCTCGATCTTTTTTTTTTTTTTTTTTTTTCTTTGACATTTTGATATGATAATAGAAGAGGCTTTTAGGGGCAGAACAAAAGAACGAATGTATCATCTCTAGAAATGGCAAATGTTAAAGTTGTTTTACTTTGTATATTCGTTCATCTCGGTTCATGTTGTTAATATGGATAGAAGTAGAACAACCTAAAATTGAAGAAGAAAAGAAGATGAAAACGAAAATGAGATGCAATGCAAATACTTTCACTTACTTCATAAAGCTGAATCACAGACAGAATTTCATATTCAGAGATTCTCCATTTGATATAATAATCCATGTATGATGAGGAAAAACAAAAAGATGATCACCACCCAAAAAAAATGAGAATATTGCTGTAATTTGGATGTACGAAGTACAAATTACTTTCACCGTAAGGAAAAACGACACACGAAGGTATTGAGTGAATTCATTTTCCACAAAAAAGTCGTACAAAATCTATGTACTAGTCACTCGTTCTCTTAGCAACAAATTGAGCTTCCTTCAACTTTCCACCAGCTTCAAGTGCACTTCGTAACTCCACAAGACAGCTCATCGGCAGTTTGACACCATTTTCCAATAATTCATAGTAAACCTGAAACGCTTCTGATAACCTGCGACCCTTACAAAGCTCGGTCAAAACTGTACTACATGAGGTTACACCAATATGCTGGTCATTTTTCACACTAAACATCATTAACTCATATGCCTCTAATAATTTCTTGTCCCGACAAAGGAAGACCACAAGTTCTTCCATGCCAACCACATAACCATTTTCATAAATTCTTTTAACCAGCTCAAATGCCCTGTTTCGCATGCGGCTCTTGAACAACAATCGGACAACCTCAGTGGAGAGATTCATGTTTGGTGTAATCTCTTTATCCAACATCAGTACCATCAAGTCTGCAGATTCACGAGCGAAACCTTTTTCAATAAGCTCCATCAAAACACTGTGGAAAACAGACGTCCTCGGCAAATAAGAACTTCTCACCATTTTCTCTAGAGTATCGTGTGCAAGGCCCACCTCCCGTTTTCTCAACAAACCTTTGATTAGAGATTCATAGATCTTGAAACTGGGCAAAAAGTATCTTCTCAGCATCAGGACTAAGAGCTTGTGCCCATCCTCAAAAGTATCTTCTTTACAGTGCCCCAAGATTAAAGTTTCAAAAGCAACTGGATCCTGTGTGCCTCTTTTCAGTAGCTGCCTCAAAATTTTTTCAGCCTTCTTGGTTTTCCCGTTTGCACACAAATACTCAAAAATGGGATTGAACGATGCGGCAAGTGGTGTGCAGTTGTTATCGTGCAACAAAATTTCTTTCTCAAACAATTCATCTAGCAACTCTTCGGCTTTCTCATAATTACCATTTTGGCACAAGGCACGGATTAGAATACTGTAAGTGGCTGAATCCTGTTTAACGTTCATCTCCTTCATCCTCTCGAGAAATCCCAATGCATCCCCCAAATTCCCATTATTACAATGAGCATTCATCAATGTGTTGAAAGTACACGTGTCGGGAACAAACCCATCGCTTTCTCTCTCACATTCCTCTAAAACCTCTCTTAACATATCAAACTTTTGAGATTCACAAAGCCCTTGTATGAGTGTGTTGCAAGTAATATTGTTCGGCTTAATCTCCCCATCAATCATCTCTCTAAACACACACAATGCCTCGTCAATGTCTCGTTTCCCACAAAACCCTCTGATCAAAGTGGTGTAAGTAACGACATTTGGCCTCATGTCCCCACTCTTCTTGAGCATACCGTTCACCACATTACGTGCAACATTCACTTTTCCCACTCTACACAATCCATCAACGATAGTATTGTAAGTTATCAGATCGGGCTTGCAGTTAAATGTGTCCATTTCTTTAAACATTCTAAACGCCTCGTCAACCTTGGAGTTCTTGCATAACCCTCTTATCAAGATGTTGAAAGTGTACGAGTCGGGCTTCACCCCATAAGTCCTAAGCATTTCATCGTACAGCTCATGAATCATCGCCAACCGACCCCTCTTGAGCAAAATATGAAACAAACTATTAAAAGTGACAGCAGAAGGCAAAATGGCCATGGATTTCATAACTTTGAAAAGCTTAATGGATTCCTGGAAAAGCCCAGCATCGCCATAGCTTCGGATCAAGCTGTTGAAGAATTTATCAGTCAGCTGGACGGTGTTGCCAGACTTCTTGGGTATGGAGAGGAGGAAATTTCGGGCCGGGTTGAGATTCCGGGCCCGTCCCAGGATTTCCAGCATGATGAAGTAAGAGTGGTGGTTGTGAGTGAAGCCCGAGTCTCGGGCCCATTTGAAGAAGCGGAGGGCCTTGGAAGGGTCTTTGATGCGGCGGAGGGTCTGAAAGAAGGCTGTTTGGGAGAGGGGAGTATACGCGGAGAGGGAGGACGGGAGTTGGGCCGACCAGGGTTTGGAGTTGATAAGTTGGGCCATGGTTCGGGCTTTCTTGGTTTTGGTGGGTATCGCATCGTGCTTTTCGTCGTCACTGTGGATGGGTTCTACGACGGCGCGGGCGGAGGACGCGGCGGTTATCGGCGGCTTGGAAAACAGGTGTATGAGATTGGGAGGGAAGCTGGAGGTGGAGTACGCAAGCTTGAAATTGGTTAGTAATTTGGGGATATTGAGGTAGAAAGGGGAAAGAGGCGCCGGCGCCATGTGAGTGGAGTGTGTGCATTTCTGCAATTTACGCCGCCCAAAGTGCGCCGACCGCAGCCGCTACGACGGCCAGGTTCAACTTTCAACCAACGTTGTCCCAATTTTTCATTTTGTGGGATAATTACATAACCACCCTTTCTGTTGGGCCTAATTCAAAAAGCCTAAGAAAATATTTTAGATGGGCCTCAAATAAATTTATTTAGGCCCAATTACAATATGAACTTACAGTTCCGAGCCCATTAAGCTGTTCCAACTTCTGCAAATCGCTTCCTCTCTCACGTTCTCAATTTCTCCATTTTCCCCTAAATCTCATTTCTCTCTCTCACACACACACACTCAGGCTGCTCAAGATGCTGCGACAGGGTTCACGTTTCCTCCTGAGCCGAGCTTCCGCCGCCTCGATGAGGTGGAGCCGCCCATTTTCCACCGATCTACCGGCTGAGACCGCCGAAGATTCCAAGTTCGTCGAGGCCTGGAAGAAAGTGATGCCGAATATGGATCCACCGAAAACCCCCTCGGCTTACATGGCTCCTCGACCGCCGACCCCATCCACAATCCCCTCAAAGCTGACCGTCAATTTCGTTCTTCCGTACAATTCCGTGTTATCCGGCAAAGAGGTTCGCTCTCACATACTCGCGACCCTTGAAATCTCTTTCCTTTTTTATTTCCATTTGTTCTTTTCTCCGGAGGTTTGGATTTTATTTATTTATTTATTTATTTACCAGTTCATCTGTGAAATGGATTTGTTATTGTATGAGGGACTTGTGAAGAACTGGTGCTCATGGTTTGATCTATCTTTAGCTGGTTGTACGTGGTGTTCTTTGTGCTTGTTTGTTTTGAAAATTTCTATGAATGTGTTAATGCTTTCTTTCGTTTAACGTATCTTAATGTTCTGGTTATGGATGCGTAGTTTCTGAAACCCCTTTGTTGAGTGCTGATGTTATTTCTTAAATGCGTGTGAAATTGGCATGGTAGAAATGCTAATTCTTGTGAGCTTGGTTTTAAAGTGCCGTGAGTTATCTTTTGGTTGCAACTGTTAAAACTGTCAAATGTGGGGTTTGGTAATTGTTATGTAGCACAAGCACTCGAGTTCTTAGGATTGGTTTATAGATTATTTATGCTGTTGATTGCGATTAGGTGTAGTGGGTGAGGTCTAACTGGGAGGAAATGCAATGGTATACAGTAATTAGTAGCTTTGAATTTTGTGACATTATGTTTGGAGCGGTTCAAAAGCTGGAACCATGAAAGAGGGTAATATTGGCATTGCTGATTACCAGCATTTCAAAGCTCAAATTTAAGTTGTGTAATTTACATTTCGGATGTCTGTTTCTGTGTCTTGTTTGAATGTATAAAACATGCCCGCCATTGCTCTTGTTCGGAGTTCTTTTAAGAAGCAAATTTGGTTCTCTTGTTTCTGTACTTTTTATATTTGTCAAATTTTTGGTGTGGTATATATTATCTTGAAGTTGTGGATGAAGTTCTATTCATCTTTTGGTGGCCAGCAAAAGTTTAGTGTTTAGATGAATTTTACGGAGAACTTGAGTCATGCAATCATGATATGTCGTTTATTTATCTCTGAACCAAAACGCTGCAGTTCCAGAGGTTCTAAGTTGCTAAAGTTTGTGTAATTGTATCTAAAATATATTGGTATTGATCAACTCTTGGTTTACTTTCCATAAATTATCTTATAAGTTGTATTGACTTACCACTGTCACGGTAAGTCCTGTGTTATTAATGATTGATTTCTTTTATCTATCAGAACCTTAAGGATCATTCATCGTTGTCGAGAAAACAACAGTGGACAAAAAAGATTCTATTAGGACTAACCAAGCTGCTGTAAATTATTCAGATACTTGAAATTTCATCATCTATTAAATTTTCAATTGTGGCTCTGCTGCTGCCTAGTTTGTTTTTGAAAGATGCAGCTCATTTTTATTTTTCCACAAAAATATTATGAAAGTGTTGCAGTCTTTCATAGTTCTAACAACTTCTGCTTATGTGTGATCCATAAGTTATTGATGTGTCTTCTCAGGTTGATATGGTCATCATCCCTGCAACTACTGGGCAGATGGGTGTTTTGCCTGGTCACGTACCAACAATTGCTGAGCTTAAACCCGGGATTCTTTCTGTTCACGAAGGTAATGATGTGACCAAGTACTTTGTGAGCGGCGGTTTTACTATCATCCATGCAAACTCTGTTGCCGATATTGCGGTTGTTGAGGCCACCCCAGTTGACCGCATTGACCCAAACTTGGTTCAGACAGGCCTTGCTATTTACCAGCAAAAGCTAAACTCAGCGACAACCGAGCTTGAAAAAGCTGAAGCTCAAATTGGGGTCGATGTACACAGCGCTCTCAATGCTGCTCTTACTGGTTAAGAGGCGAAACACAGGGTTGATTTAATTCAAGTCTTTCGACATATCAAATGTTTTTTTTTTTTTCTTGTTTCAGTTTTTATGCCTGTTGGAATTGGATCCTTTTGTACCCTTTTGACGAGGTAGCTGATTTTTGGCTTCTTATGGAACAAATGTCCCAGGGTCTTGATGTGAAGAGATTTCTTTGAATAAAATTTCTATGACAGACTCGGTTTTTGTTGCTTTTCTTTTATTATTCTGTAGGAAATCAATCTGTAAATTGATAGGGTGATAATTATAGTCTGTGCTGCTTATATGGAATCAATCTTGAAGCGTTTATTTGATCCGACTTATATGCCTTTTGTGTATGATAGCAGATGAAACACAAGCTAATAAGTATGATGAGGTAGATTTCATTACATTGTGATATCATAATGTTTTGTTTGTATTTAAGCTACAGATGTTCTCTGTCTTAGGCCTTTCTCTGAATTCAGCTGAATAGTTGTTTCAGTCGGTTAGTTAGCCTCTTGTAATTATGTGTTATAATAAAATTTGTCGTTTTGAAAATAATAATAATAATAAAAAAATTGATGTTTTATTGGTGGATGAGATGATGAAATTTAGTCACATTTTGATATACAATTTCTCGCTTTTGTCTTGGTTTTGTTTGGTTGTTTTGTTAAATAAAGTAAATTTTGAGAAATATGATATGATTAGTTGTTAGTGGAATTTTGAGCTTATAGTATTAAAATAATATTTAAAATAGAATAATTAAAGTTGATTTGATGTAAAAGTATGAGATAGATGATGTGAAGTGATTGTTATTTAAAATTATGTGAATTGATGAATAATGCATTAAAGTTGATGTGATGTGTAAAGATAAATGATTTATATTATTTAATTATATTAATAATATTGGAGATAGTGAAGTTGAATTAAAGTTGAGCTAAAAAAATTGATTAGGTTAAAATAGCTTAGGTGCAAGATGACATGACAAATGACATATAATTTCAATTCAGCTATAGAAAAGTACAATAACCTAAGACAACCGATCAAGTTGATCATCTCTTCTTCCTCAAAGCAAATCATATTAATTAAGCACAAACGTTTAGAAACCAAAAACATCAAACACGAACACGAACACGAAAACGAAAAAAAAAAACGTAGTACAATCAAACTCAAAATAAAACGAACCAAACCTCAATATTCGACCCGGGTACAACCCGCATCAAATTCATTATTCCACGAAATTACCCAAAAAAAAAAAAACAAAAAATCACACTTCCGAAAATGCCCCCGGGCTTGAGTACACGTACATGGTGTACTCCATGATGCTGTTGAACGTGTCCGGGTCCATCCTCAAAGTCGTCTTGTAGGCCACCCCACGCGCCATGAGGTACTTCCCGGTCCCGCCCACGATCGCCAGCTCACCCTCCTTTGCAAACGCCACCAGCCGCCCCAACACAAGTATCGTGCTCCCGTCCTCGAACAGGAAGTTCCAGTTGACTGAGATGGCCGCCACGTGGAGGTCTGAAAGGACGTGGACACCCTGGACCCGGCCCACCTTCTCGGACCCGATGTCGGGATCGGTTGTCATGAGGTGGTCCACTACCTGGACTCGCCCGAACCACGAGTCAGACTTGGAGGTGATGGAGGACTCGGCCACGTTGTAGACCGTCTGGTTGGGCCCGCTCACAAAGTCGTGGATGTAGAAGTGGAGCTTCGTGAATTTCTCTTCCTCGGTTGGGTTTAGGGTTTCGAGCCAGCTGTCGTGGTCGAGGGTGATGTGGCGGGCGGCGGCGGCCGGGGTGGACGCGAGGATGGTTGAGAAGAGAATGAGGATGGTGATAAGGAGAGGGTTAGCCATTTTTTTTTTTGCCTTCTTTGGGTGTGCTTTTGTGAGTTTTTGATGGAATGTGGGGATTAGAGGGTGGAGTATTTATAGGTGGAGAAGTGTGGTAAAAGGAGATATATATAGTTATTATTATTCATTTTGTTTTGAGTAGAAATGGCTTATATTTGGCAATGGTAAACTATGAAGATTGACGAGTGTTTTTGTGGTTATTTTATTATCGGTAAAATTTCATTTTTAGTGCATTATATTGGTTATTTTTCAAAAATGGACCACTAATTTGGCGGACATCAAACTTGATACAATAAGTTGTAAAATTCATCATTTTTGGTCTATAAGCCTACGTGGCGTTTTATCGGGCGAATACGTGGACAAGTTTGATGTCCGCCACGTAGGCTCGTTATCTAGCCCAAGTGATTAATGGACCAAAAATGATGAATTTTACAACTTATTGTATCAAGTTTAATGTCCAAATTAGTTGACCATTTATGGAAAATGACCAATATAATGGACCAAAAATAAAATTTTGCCTTTTATTATCACATAAAGTTAATGATATTAATATTAGTTTCATTAACATTGGAAATATCAATGCTATTCATTAAAGTGTTAGGATAAAATAAGACGGTTTTACAATGGAGCCAACGGATGGCGGCTCGGCTTATGAAGCCATCCATTGTGAATCACAAATGATGTAATGACACATGTCTTGCTATAAATACATATTGAACATGTGTCAGTAAATACAGCTTATGAATGAACTCCATAAAGGAGTCGATCCTATGGCTCGATAAA